GTGACCACAGAGAGCTGTATCTGAAATTCAGCTGATGGATTTTGGTGGCCTTGGGTGCCTACTGTGAGGTCTCACTAGTGAAGAACCATGAGAGAGATTCAGGCTACCTGCTTGCTAAATTTTGTCCATGCCATTGGTTGTGAAAAGTAGCTGCTTTCCAAGAACAGTGGAGAGGAGCTAGGAGATGTGCTTGCTCCTCTCCAACTAGCTGCCACTCAAGGAGGGGTAGAAGGCTGTGAGGTTCAAGAGACATGGCTGTGAGATAGAGCTATTTTATGCATGTATATACATCTGCATTTACACATTGGTATAACAAAAAGATCAAGAGTTCTTAATTTTAATAGCACCAGATTCGTCCTTGATAAATCTATGGGGCTGATCACCCTTATTAATGTTTAACTTCTGCAAGAGCATATTTATTTCATTTTCAAAGAGCAAAGCGGTCCGTCAGCAATTTCAATACTTGAAATACTTCCAATGCATTTTCAATACGATTCATGTGAATTTTGCAACCAGAATTTCTAATATACTCAGACACCTACCTGAGATGTCCTCAGCCCTCAGCGTTTTGGACAGAAGACTCTCTGACCAGCAGAGGTTACCTCTGCCTTTTCTTCAGGGACTACCCAGGAACTTGCATCTGCACGAGGTCACTTGGCACACAGAACACTGAAGCCCAAAGAGAAGACTGAATTTTCTGCCAATGTCCAGGATATTCTTGGCTTACTCAGACTGCACTGCCTTTAGTGACAACTGTGTCAATGATTGTGCTGCCTCTCTTTTACAAAGCCTACAACGCATACTCACCCAAGCTGGTAGAGACTTTGATTTCAGACCTTCCTACACACAAACAGAATGTTTGACCCAACACACACTGTCACAGAGAAGGGGCAGGATACTTAAAATATGCGAGATCGTGGGTTCTTTGTCAAATCACAGATTATTTCTGATAAACACAAAAGGTAGTAGCACTATAAGTTTTTCTCCTGCAAGCAAAGGAAGTCAGCAACGTTTTAGTGTTTCCTGCGGTCTCCATGAGTGCACTCAATGCATCTGAAATGTAACACCCCCACTGCTGGGATGGGTGGCTTTCAAAAGCAAACCAAGCCGGACTCAAAAACTTAATTGAGAAAATAGAGGGCACAGGAGTTAAAAAATCTGTATATCACATCTTGAACAAACTGCAGGACCACCACAGTTGAACCAGCCTTTCTGTAAGGGAAGACAGTGCCTGAAGGGTGAGGCACAGCCAGTGGAGGGAAAGGAGAAAGCTGTGTCGTTGGAGTCTCAGGGAGAAGATGCTTTAGCAAAGAAAATGTCCTACAGTATTATCTGGACAAGTAAACCTCTCCCTCCATTTGTTGTTCAAAACCAACCAATTTAAGAAGCACATACACAGTTGTCACACTAGAAAAACAGAGCTTAAGTATCTAGAGTGGGGTAAGGCTAAGAAATTAGGAAACTGCTTCATCTCCAAACACCATTTAGACTCCTTCTCATGAGCCAAACCCTGTAGTTTTTACCTGAAGCTTCATTTTCCTTTGTTTCAAAATGATTTTTGAATCAAAATTTGATTTTTACCATGAGTAACCTTGTGTGCTTCATTCAGCAATCACTTGCCTAATTTTCTTATGAAAATGTAGCAAAATATAGTTTTATGAGAGTCTTTTGGCAGAAGAGCTCCACCTTTTGTTAATGTTAATGTAAAGATTGCCTGACAAAGCTAAAAGAAGAATTTGGAAATTTGATTCCTTATTTAATATCCATTTCTAGCTATTCACAAGCATGTTTTGCCTCATGACGCCTAATTTCTGTTTTTATTACTTCTGTGCATTTATTTGACTCAGCAGTTAAATTAGATGATGTGGAATTCACTTCACCTTTACACCCAGCAACAGACTTTATGATCACAAGGTGATGATTTCACTAGAGGAATCAAGCAAAAGGGGAAGGAATGTGGGGTGTGAGAGGGGGAAAAAAAATAAATATCTTTGGTTGAAACACCAATACACAAATACCTTCTGTGCGACCTGTTTGAGCAATTATAGCTCTTACACTGTGACAGTGAAGGGATGTGGAAATAAATACCAGCCAAGCTCTTCTCTTACTATAAATATTCTTTTTTTTTTTTTTTTTCTAAATTGGCCCAGGAGGGGGGGGTCTCTTCTCAAAGCCCTCTTCTGACCCCATTGCAGGACCATCACAGGGTGCCATGCTGCCCACGCAGCCAGCAGAGCTACCAGGAGGCAAATTGTCACCCACACCTTGTGTCACAGCCCTGTGGCCTCCTATTTGCACTGGCAGAGGAGGCCAGTGGTGGCTAGATATAGCAGCTACCCTTAAAACATTTCCCATTCCTCAGAGAGCTGCTTGGACTGCTTGTGTGCTTCGAGGTTTCACATATTTTTCAGTGCAGTTACTTGATTATTGTTGATGTTTTGGATAACGACAGGAAATTTCTCTATCTAATGAACAGTAGAGGTTGGTGCTTTTTTGGATGATGGGGTTTTTAGACACTGGAGGTTGAAAGAATCGAAAAGGGATGCCCATATGATCTTCCATATAAAGCAGTCTGGTGATAATGCCCAGCTCACGCTCCCAACCTTCACCCTTTGATGTTCAAACCATTCTTTAGAGAGGTGAGAAGAATGGCTGACAGCGTGGAAACAATGCATGGTGTCTAATGAGCTCACTGGGGCTTGTTACACATGGTTTTGACATTTTAATCTGAGTCCCCCAGCTTCTAACAGTTTGATTCACCTGTTTGTTTGCCTGCAGTGCTGTGATGTTAAGAACTGGCCACCTCCAAGCCATCTCATGATGACAAAGAGAGTTCATCCCAGGCAACACAAACTCCTCCCTAACCAATGACTGCAGGTGTATTTGTCCCCTCTAATTTTCCACTTAGGACTGATTGCCATACTGCTCAAGGATTTGGCTTGTGAGGTCCGTGTCTGTCACCCACCTGCCTTCACATCCCAAGCCTATTCGCCACAAGGAGTTAGTGGCAGAGGAGTTTGGCTTTGCCCTAGCAGCCTCAGTTACTCCTGTGTAGACCACAGGACAGCTGCCATCTCTGGCAGACCTCGGGGACCTCCTGCTACATCAGTGTCTCTGAGCTGCTGCATGTGGCATTTGCTACAGACAGACGGGATGGAGCTGAACAGATGGACCAAACGCTGGGCTTGGGTAGGACTTTCTGTTCTCACCACGGTGCGTCAGACACTGCTGAGCAGGAGAGCAGCTCCAGCCTGTCTGAGAGATTAACTGTGGGACAGTGCATGTTGATCCTACCAAAGAACAGAAACTGCACTGAACCTGAGTCCTTACTTGATAGGGATGCCTCTGGCATCTTCATTTCCGTCCAAATAATGGCTTATCTAGGTCATTGTGGGCCTACAGCCCATCCAGCTGCTGCCAAGCTGGATGGTGAATCCACCAGCGCCCCAGGTAGCAGATCATTAGGTAAATCAAAACACAGCACTTGTGGCTCAGTGGATAACACTGGGGTTCAAACTTGGCTTTAAAACTCCTGTGGGCACACCAGTGGGATTCTCCTGCCTGTCATTAAAAGCAAAAGTGATGCTCAGTGGTCTACAGATGGAAATAAACCCTAGGTTTGGTCATTACTGTGTTCAGTTTTGGGCCCCTCGCTACAAGAAGGACATGGAGGTGCTCAAAAGTATCCAGAGAAGGGCGACAAAGCTGGTGAGGGTTCTGGAGAAAAAGTCCTACAAGGAGCAGCTGAAGGAGCTGGGTTTGTTCAGCCTGGAGAAAAGGAGGCTCAGGGATGACCTTATCACTCTTTATACATGTAAGTACATTAAAGGAGGCTGTAGCGAGGTGGGAGTTGGTCTGTTCTCCCACGTGCCTGGTGACAGGACGGGGGAACGGGCTAAAGGGGTGTTTTAGGTTGGATATTAGGAAGAACTTATTTACTGAGAGGGTTGTGAGGCATTGGAATGGGCTGGCCAGGGACGTGGTGGAGTCACCATCCCTGGAGGTCTTTAAAAGACATTTAGATGTAGAGCTTAGGGATATGGTTTAGTGGAGGACTTGTTTGTGTTATGTCAGAGGTTGGACTCGGTGATCTTGGAGGTCTCTTCCAACCTAGAAATTCTGTGATTCCATGATTATTTTAGTGGCTCTGCACATCAAGAGTTCTACCCAAGTCAAGAAAATACTCCACTTATTATGTATCATTTTAATTTTTGTTTATTTTCTAGTGTTTGAGTAATGGCTTTTGCGACAGTTGCCATGTGTCACATTTCCAGGTTTTTAGAGGGGAAAAATGAGTCTCATGACTTTTCACTTCTAAATAGTTCCTCAGCCACTGAACTGTGATGCTGTGTACCACAAATAATCATTTTAGCTGGCACTGGGTAATCCCAGCACTACATTTCATGCCGGGTTCACTTTTCAATTATATATTTGCAATTTCTGCTAAACCACAGTTAAAGTTATCCAGCAGTTGTCTGCTAGATTGGTAACAGGTAACCCTTGCCAACAACACAGTTTGTCTGAAAACCAGTATAATGAGGAGACTGAGAATACACTGACAGGTTAAGAGGTGGTGTGTGGGACTGATGCCCACCCTCTGTCCAAACGCCGACTTCCAGAGAGCAGCGCTGCCATCCAGCTGACCTTCCTCCCTGTTCCCTTGCTGCCCTGGGCCTATAGAGAAGGCACCCCTCTGTCGTCAGGGCTGGGCCTGAAAAAGAAGAAACTGGCAAAAATATCCTTTCAGGAAAAAAAAAAAAAAAAAAAAAAAAAAGGTTTCTCAAAAACAAGTCCACGTGCTTTTGCCTTTATCACAGACTGTGCATTGGTACTGGCAGCATCCAGGGCCCCAGGAGGTTTTCTGCGTTAGCTCTTGGCTCCAGCCCAGCTTGGTTAGTCGTGTCCTTCCTGCAACCCCATGCTGGGAGCACTGGCCTCACCCAGGGTTACTTCTCAGGAGCCTTCCCCAGCAGCAGCATCCTGCTGTGGTGGGCAGGCCCCTAGGAGTTGCACTCCTCGCAGTGGCAGGAGAGGATGTAGCGGTAGGTCGCGGTGAGCCGCATGCCACCCGAGCAGCGCAGCCGCATGGCTTTCAGCTTGGAGGTCTGGGGCCGGCAGCAGTGGCAGGTGGAGCGGAAAGGCTGCTTTAGGACGGTGCTGAAAGACACCATCGGCTCCGAGCGCGACGTCTGGCTGCAGCGTCCTTCGCAGCGAGCCAGCAGCACCATCTGCGAAGGAAGAGACAACGGGTTAGGAAATGTGCCTTGGTGGCTGCGAGAACGCATGCTAGCACCTGCAGATGGGGCAGGCCCTTCCAGTCTGGCTGACCTTCATTCACCTCCTGCATCTCCCCGCCGGGGTGGTGGCACCTGGCCCCATGCATACACTGCCCTGGAGCTATGCCCGAGTGAGCTGAGGAGATAACGTGGACAGGAGGAAAAAGGAAAAGGTCCTTCTGGGCACCCAGACACCATTACTGATAAGAAATACAGTGCCTGGCTTTCTGAAAGCTGACCTGAGGACTCCAAACAGTTGCAGCGGGCCCCATTTTCCAGGCACAGTGACTGCAGGCGTGGCTTGCTAATCCTGGGGTTGCGGCAGCCAAACCCTTAAATCATCAGCCAAACCGATGCTTCAGCTGGATGTTTTCCAATGTTTTGAGTTCATATAGTAGTGATCAGCAGAACTGGTCCTCAGGGCCAGTAAATCTCTCAAATGCTTAGATATATAAACATATAAATTAGCAATATAAAGAAGCAGCTTAGTTTATGGCTTCTAAAGCAGTAAGTTTCTAGCTCTGTTGTCTGCAAAGATCACCTGGAAGATGTATTTGCAATTGTGTGTGTGTATGTTATGTATAATTATATCAGTTGTGTCTGTATAAAATGCGCTGCATAGCATAAGGCAGTAAAAATGTAAACAGATATGAACTCCTTGCTAAGTGTGAGGGTTCACCAGTGAGATTTTCAAAAGCAGTACAAGCTCCATGGATCTTCTCCTGGGTGCACCAACTGAGCTGTACCCAAGATATGATAACCTGTACAGTGGGAGGTGCTAAGGAATGAAATCCCATGGGAAGCCACCTGCTTCCCTTCCCAAAAATCCCTTATTGAGCAGGTGAGATAGCTACAGTCTCCCAAGCTCTATATAAAATGTGGAAATGATGTCTTCATGATCAGGTGATCATGTGGCTAGAAACAACTGGTATCACCTTGCAGAGCTAAGTTTTGTAGAGCTATGAACAACCTCTCATACCTTCTTGGGGAATTAAATACTATTTAAGTCCAAATCAGCTAATTCTGGCTAACGAATACAAAGTTCAATATCAACTTTTTGTAACATCCAAGCAAGGTAAAAATGTAGCAAAGGTTATAAAATATCCACTAATAGAGTAGTATATTCTATGACCAAAGAAGATAATTGCATTTTAACTCTGTTGCACACATCTCATGACTTCTCCAGACAATCCAAAAGGACAACTACAGATATGACAGCAAATATTTTACAATGTTAAACACCTCTGAAATTCTTTCACTGCTCATACTTGACTGGCTACAAAACAACAAGTACAATATACCATCACTGCCGGTGTCCTCGGGAAAGGCACTTATCATCCATAATGAACATACTTTGTACAGTACTTAAAAATGTCTCTTTCAAGCATAGTTGCATGCTAAAATGGTTACTTGGAAATGTGCTAATATATTAACAATTACACTTCAGTCAACTTGGGCTGATCACAAGGAAGTTGCCTTCATGAGCTGATGTGCTGGCTTGGTACCTACCACCTTCTTCCTCAGTTTAATTAAGAAAAAGGTTCTTGTTGCTCTCCAATAAACTTGCCATCTTTCTTGATTCTTAGTATGAATTTATTGCCCCCTTTCTTTAATTCTGCCTATTCATAAGAAAATTCACTTCAACTGCTAGCAATACAGGTATGGGAATGAAATTCCTGTATAATATTGAGCCACATGTAAGCTTTGGATGTATCAGCAACGTCAGGTTCCATCATACCAGTGTATTTAGTGTGTATGAGAAGAGGGCAAGGGACAGTTACTACAGTCCTAGCACCCCGTTACTGACAGATGAACATCCACTTTCATCCCCTGGCAAACAAAACTCCCTTCCCATAGTGAGTCAGGCAGCTGGTGAAGAGTGACATGGGTGTCTAACCTTGTGTGCATTGCAAAGGAAAGACAGCAGATTAGGACATTTAAGACAATCAGTTTCCTTCCCTGCATCTTGACAGCCCTCCTTAGGCCCCCCACTCTGAGCAGGTCATCAGAACATGAGCAGTCTCTTCCCCAGCTTCTGGCCGATGAGGAGACCGAGAAGCAATCCAGCTGCAGCCTGCAATCACTCAAAGGAGAGTTATAAAGACAACACAGACAAATGGTCTTCAGGAGTGCCAATAGGGGACATAAAATGGTCACCAGCTGCTTTTTGGGAGGTTCAGGGGACCTCCAGAGTCCCCTCCAACCAACATTTCTATGATTCTGTGATTTCGGACCAAACGTGACAGCACACATTTCTGTACGATGGTCATGACTTCTAATGTTTGATGCATCTGGAGCTGGAACAATTAGTCACTTCTGGCACTTTTATCCTAAGGAGGTTATGGCACACATCTGCTCCTGTATTGGCAGGTACTATTGGAAACACCAGGGGAAAAAAAAAAATATATATATATATAAATAAAATAAAATAAAATAAAATAAAATAAAATAAAATAAAATAAAATAAAATAAAATAAAATAAAATAAAATAAAATAAAATAAAATAAAATAAAATAAAATAAACATCAACTCGCTAAGGAACAGGATTAAGGACTACAGAAGAGCTGCAGTGCAAATAGAGCAAAAGGGCAGAATTATCTGATGTGTCGATACCTATCTCACCCTTTCTAGTGCAAAACCAATCAATATTTCTTCAATACGCAACTGCATTTATGATTGCTTAGTGAGCTTTTTCTTTTAAAACATGCTTCATGCTTTGGATACTCTAGTTTCAAACTCAGATTTTGCTGGCTACCTAGTTTTACCATACCTCAGAAGAGGATGGTTAGTATTAATCACATCAAATGCACAGTGCTGGTTTTACACCTTATTTTTGGATTACAGTGTAAATTTTTACAAAAGGCATTACTCCATGGCCCTCTAGTCAAGCTTGCAGGAGAAAAACTGTTCAGATTTCCCATTTTGATGCCTTTCTAAACTTCTGGACTAACCTGAAGCCCTCGGCATAATTTAACCTCCTCTTCATAGATCCCAAACAGCACCAGCAGATTTTAGCAGGTGTGCAAATGAGCTGGAAATAGCATGTACTTTAAAAGCTTTGCTTTGCCATTTAATCAATTGCACCAGCTGTTTATTGCAGCGTATACCATAGCGCAATAGAGATTATCGCCTGAATAATTAGTAATGATCTGATGGCATAGCACAGTAATACAGTAAGTGTATATATAGTAAAAATGTGTGGGTACTTTATAACCTGATATCCATGCCTCTCGGCTCCCCTGCTCCCCCGCACATAGTAGCCTGTGCATGTCACCTTGCGGTGCTATTCACGGGAGCGCAGTGTGATGCAAGACGAGAGGAGCAGGGGTTCTGCATGCTTGTTTGAGCAGCTAGAAAAATATATTTTCTTACTTCAAGTCAGCAAGCTCATAAGCATCTGATGGCTGGAAATTTAGAACTGGTTTGTTACAGCGGGTGTCTGTAGTCCTCTGCTCCACACCCCTCAGCAGCACACCGAGGCCTAGAGAACAGATGTGCTGAAATGCACAAGCAAAGGCTTGACTTGCACACAGCCTAGCCACAAACAGGAATAGCTGCAAAGCTCACAAGCCACCTCTTGAGCAAACGTCTTCATCCATTTCCTAAATCTTTCTTCATCTGGCACGTCTCTCTGGCCTGGATTCTTTGCTCCTAGGCTGTCAATGGTAGCACTCCTCCAGCACATCTGGAGGAAGCACTTGTGACAGCCAATACTGTAATTTATGAGGATCTGATTGCACTGGTGAGATGATCCAGCACATTTAAGATCAGTGACAGAGGTCAGGCAGAAACCAGTATGGTCCGGAAAGGCAGTATTCATGAGCTGACACACATATTTCCTTGAAGTCAAAGGAAAACACAGTTTTTCAGGAACAAATTACTTTCTTTCATCCCTCCTTTGTATCTTCTATACATTTTGTTACTATAATGGACTACATTTCTGAAGGCTTTGGAAACCTGTTTTCAACATCTGCTCGAAGTCACAAGCAAGAAGGATTTTAATGGCTAAATTACATTAGCTGGACATTTCCAAATGTAACCCAACTACTTTCCATGTGGGTACAATTGGCAGCCTCCACAGAGAGTTATGGCGGACACAATCCTTTTTTAACCAAGACAGGCAGCAAATGCAATGCATCTTGCAATTTCTGAAGCCATTTTTAACTTCTGTAATTCTACGCTGCACTAAATGGGAAAACATACAGAGTGAAAAGGGATGGCTTGGTGGAACCAATGCGTCATGCCAAAAATGGGCAAAGTCTCTGCTTGACAGAAATTGTCTGTCCAAGCTCCACAATAGAAACTCAGTGGAAACAAGAGGTACCACAATTCCCACAGCTATGCCAGCAGAACTTGCCTTTTTTTGGCTTGTTTATATTTTATCACTATATATATATAGGAGCAGGCATTGTGTCTAATTTTCATTAGCAAGTCTAATATCGATCTGTGTTTATATGCTAAATCCAGAACAGAAGCCATATGTCTAGCAGAATGATTCAGATTCCTGAGACCTTAAAAAAAAAAAAAAAAAAAAAAAAAAAAAAAAAGCTTGACTTAACAAGCAGAAAGAAGGTTTCTAGGAAAAGTCAAAATTGTTCTGCTTTGTATGGAAACTTTTCAACTTTTTTCATTTTCCACTTCATGAGAAAATCCATACAACTTACAGTATTGTTAAAACACTTTTCTTGAAACTGTTGTGGAATTTGGGAAGACAAAAGATGTGATAATATTTTCAAACATGATTTCCATTAAAGGCTTGATTTCAAAAAAATGTCACGGACATTTTCACAGTTAGAGTTACATCATGTTTATGTCAACAGCTTTTTTTTTTTGCTTTTTTTTTTTTCTCAAAGCCCTATTTTAAAATAATATGTTTTTCATTAGATTGTCTTCCTTGTTCTTATTTCCATCAGTCTTACTCCTACAAGCTTGATTGCTTTTCTCTGTCACAGGGATGATAAGAAATTGAGTTGGTGGTGGGATTCCTTCCTTCCTTCCTTGTCTCTCAAAGAGAAGGAAGTATTTGTGTTTCCTTCACAAAACCAGTGCCCTATCTGATGCCTGCACCAGCTGGGATTTTAAGAAAAACTAGGAGAAGAAACAGAGCAAGGAAGGCAGGAACACAGTAAAAGGGCTTTGTTCGAGTGATCAGGAGCATGCACATCTCAGCCATGGTGCAAAACAAATGACAGCATGCTGGAGAGGTGCAGTCACAACTCCTGGTCACAGGGACACAGGCTCCACCTAACACAGTTACCCTAAAAGCCACTGAGACGCCCAGCCAAGGAATCAAAGCCCATGAGTTGTGCAGGAAGCAATGCCCTGAACAAATAAGAAAACCACAGATGGGGTGCTGTGGGGGCTGTTTTGAGGGATGTGGGAGTGTGTTTAGCACAGAGGCACCAGTCCTGGGGACAGGAGAGGCTGCTGGAGAGGCAAGAAGCAGAGGCAAAGCTGTGCTGTGGGAGCTCACTGCAGCCAGGGATCGGAGGGGTGCCAGCCCACAGGAGAGGACAGACTGGGACATGAGAGCTCATTCTCCACACAGCCCAGCAGGCTGTGAGATGGGTGTAAGGGAGCCCCAAGTTTGGCCTTTCCACGTGCCCAGTTTGGAGGCTGCCAGGCCCCCTAGCCCCACTGATGGTGCCCAGCCACTGCCACAAGCACCTCCTGGTGCTTGGGCACTGGGCTGGGATGATTTTCTGTCGATGCATCTCTCTGTGGTTTATTCTACACATTATGGCCTTCTGCTGCCAGTGGTATTGCCTCATCCACACGTTGAGCCCAAGAAACAAATATTCTGCATGCAAAGGGACTCAGGTGGAGGAAGAGGGGTCTCTGCAGCCAGCGTGACTCCTCCCTTCTCAAATCTCCCAGGCTTGATGCTGCTGGGCTTTGCTCCTAGGCAACACCACAGCTAGCCTTCCTGCCCTAAAACCCACCATGCACTCATCTTTGATTGCTCTCCTACATGTTCCAGAGCCAGCAAAAGTGCTGCCGTGGGCTGCTCCCTTCTGCCAACCCAGGGAGCTGGGTGTGTGAGGCAAATCCCTTTCTGAGGGACAGAAGGACGGCCAGTGTGGAGACAGCATACACACTGGTTTAGTTCATTTGGAACAAATGAAGACAAGACAAAGGGGACCAGCAAGGATTTTCCCATTGTTTCTCCCTATTCTTTTTCTCTGCACAATGAAATAAATGACTGTGGGCTACATATACTGACCGTTTCAACACAAGATTTTTCAGGCTTGAAATCTCAAAGGAAAGGCAAGCTTGTATTTCTCTCTGTGAAGCCCTAAAGTAAACATCCAATTGGCATTCTTCACGAAAACAAAGGCCTTGAAACTAAATGGGGAAAAAAAATCAGAAGTGTTTTTCACATTCTTTTTTCATTACCGCTTTATAGCTTGATTCTTTATCTCAGTGCTCAGTCTCACAAGCTGTAAGTTTACATGCTCTGGATTAAAGACTCACTTGCAGGAGGGGTCTGACTGGGATGATCTACACTTCCAAACTTGCCCATCTCCTTGGTGCTGGCAGCTGAGTCCCGAACTTGCTCCTTTGACTTGATTCACTTAGTGCATGTTAGTTTGACCCATCACTGTGTGCTTCTCCTTTTGAATAGGTGAAGAAGAAAAGACCCAGGAGACTTCCTCTCCACCTGACATGTACGCTCAGGTGTCTCTATCTCTGTCTATCTCTGCATTTGCATTTTGGTCACAGGGAACTGATACAGAGGGACTCACGCAAAATGGCTCATTTTAACAACTCCCCTGCCAGTCAGTGAGGGGGGTGAGAGGAGCCCTTACCTTCGAGCTGCACTTGTACAGGGGGTGGCTGATGGAGTCCACATAGTGATGCCTCATGCAGCGACTGGGGTCAGCGTCGATCATGAAGGAACTGTCTGTTTTACTGTCCGCATCTCCCATCATTGCCAGGAGCGAGAGCATGGAAATAGAAGCTGCAAGTACATGATTTCCCATTGTTGAGGAACTTCGCGGTGATAACAGCAGAGGGAGGTAGAGTATTAAAAAAACTCCAAGTCGTGGGACCCAGTTCCTCTCCAGGATAGCAAAAAGTCTGGTTTAAGTCTCTTAGCTGTCATTCTTCTGGAGTTAGAGTTTACTGAGATTGTAATCCATCAGAGAATCTCCCGAGTAGCTGGAATAAAAACACCATAAATCACAAACCTAACCAAAAAAAGCTCTGGAGAAAAACTGACATAAATAATAATAAGGCTCATAGGATTTTTGCTTGCCAAAATACACTCTCTGAGCAAGCATCATTCCCACAGTAGGTACAGCATGCAACATTAGGAATGAGATGTCAAGGCCTTGTTCCTTTAAGCCCTGCTCTGTCTTTCTACTAGGGAGAACCTTTTAACTTGTAATATCATCAGTGCTGCAACACCCATCTTTTCGACTTGGTGATGTCCCTAATGGGGTCCCCTCAAAGCTGGTGATCAGTAACACATCAGAGCATGTTGCAAATGGGAAGGAGTGCTTATTCTCTCAAAGTGTCAAAAATATGCTTGAGGTGCTGGGGGGGCACAGCCAGGCTGCCTCCTGCAGCCCTAGGGGGAATTTCCCAGGCAGTAAACAGGAAGGATGCTCCACGGGCTGTGTGCTGCTCTCCTGCAGGGACAAGGGATGCACTGAGTCCCAGCCCAAGCATAAGCAGAGCAGTGCCTGTTAGTTAGAGCAAGATCTTAAAAATCACATTATATTCCTTAAGCTCAAAGTACCTCAAAGTAAGCTATTGATTGGGGAAAAAATAAATATGCAGGTGGGGTCACACAGATTGCCACTTGGTCATCTAGCTTCTGATGCATGTTGGAGACCACCCCCTCAAAACAGGCACAGGACAACCCTGAAGAGAAGCTCCCCAGGTGGGCATCTCCCTGGGCTGCTCCACCACAGGCCCTTGGGAATTATTTCAAAGCTGGTAGGCTTAAATGGGCGATTTACTTTTGCTTTTACTACAGACAGCAATGGCTTGAAAGAGCTGTGAATCTCCCACCCAAACATAACCTGACCGAGCAAAGAGCAGCTGTCAGTACAGCTAAAAGTGTAAGGACTTTCTGAAGAAAATCGGGGTAAAAAAGTTCACCGCTCATGTAGAGACGTTCTTCCCGAGTGCCTTGCCTATTTAAAGAGATGCTGCGTGCCTTTATTGCCTTACACAAGCTCTTTCAAAACCGCTCTCTGCTTTGCTGGCGATGCTCTGAAACGACTGATACTCATCTCCCAAACAGCCTGAAACTGCGAGGCCTCCCCACCAGAGTGCTTAATGATTTGTGTACTGCTTGATGGCTCGCTCCAACACTTTTGCAAGAGGAGTGCATAGCAGTGGTAAACACTTCCAGAGCTCGTCCAAGCTGGGAGTCGGGACTTGTCGGGCTGAAGTGACATACAAAGTCTCACGCTGTGAAGAAATGTAATTAGGGATACTCTGTGTGTTAGACAGTTTTAAAAGCCTTTTTTGGGTTTCAAACTATTGTCCAAGTGCCTAAATAGAAAAGGAAAAATTATGGGACTGCATCTAACTGACGATATGTATTTTTTCCCAGACTGTTACCTATGACCTGCTGTATTTCCTTAAGCAAATGTTTTTCAGTGGATATGGCACTGAAAAATAATACCATATTTTCACAGTATATGGAGTTTAAGCAACATTAAACACTCAGGATTTGGGATACATCTGTGCACAATCTCCTTCATCTCAACAAATATTCCTCCAAACATTTTAGCAGGGCAAGACAGAAACCTCCTGGTCATGGGAGCTGGGACAGAGCCTCCACAGAAGCGAGATGTACAACTGTGGTTCATGGAGACGCTGTCCAAGCATTAGCTAACAGGACGAGTGATGCACTTTTTTGTGTTTAACCTTTTACCTACTTTCCTATTCTTTATAAAGAGGCTGACCAAAACACTCGGCTTGGCAAGGTCTCTCTCCAGCATAGCTAACCAGTATTACACACCCAGTAACTCCCTCTCTGTCCAAGTAAATTTACTTGATATTGGATGGTTTCATCCCATTTACCACTATGTCCAGGGATCCCCATTTCCCACTCTCTCTGTCCCACTGTCATTTTGTTTGTTTCTCTATCTTCCTATGGTTTTGATCAGCGTGATCTAATACAGCGAGAGAAATCTGGAGTCCTGGCTCAGCTTTCAAAGGCTTATCTTTCTAGTTTTCTTCAGGAAATAATTGGATGACACAGAGTCTGCCTCATGAAAATACTGTGAGAAAGCTGGAAAGGAGCAGGGAAAAATGTGAGAAAAGGAAAATGTGTGTACCTTCTTTAGGATAAGTACAGCACAAAATCTGTACAAAAAGTATTAGCGCTCTCACAATCTTTTGAAATCTCTGTGATACTCTCCTGGCAAAGGCGTGTAGTGAGATCTGATAATAAAACTCCAAAAGAAGAAAAGAATGGTGCTATCACATTACTTGTTAGTAAAAAGAGAGGCGTCTTTTGTGACTCATCTTTTGTGAAAAAGCTGGGTTCTGCTGTTGATGGGCATATTGGCAATATGACTTTGTCTGCATTGGAAGCAGGTCTGCGAGCAATATTGGGATGTTTGCACATCCAGTATCTACTGCCATACTTATATGAGGCATACATATACATTTCTCAAGTACAAATACCACATATAATTGAGCTATACAGAAAAAAAAATTAATAATAATCTCACAGGTATATTTAAACATACAGAAGTCAGTATGCATTTGGAGCAGCAGAAAAAAAAAATGGTTGGGTAAAAAGGGTCTAAATATTTTCCCTCAGGTACATCACCATAGTGAGTATTTTGACATGACATTTCCATTTCCAACAGAAATTATGCACTGGCATTTCACTTTAAATTAGCATTCGAAATTTATTTCTTTAAAAGAAAAAAAAAGTTGTAATCCTTTTGAAATGTTGTCTGAAATTATAAAATCCTACACAGTACATGATATCAGGAGTGGCATCTGTAGCTTCCTGTCTATCCTTCTATCCAAAAGCAGAAGTACATATGTAATCATTAATCAATATGTATGTTCTTAAGATGACATTTTGTGTTCTGTTTCATTTTGTCAAAATCAAGAATTTCACATGGAAAATTTTTATTTTATCTGAGCTGCCTTTTTCCTGGTTTCTTTTCATGTGAAAATTTGTGGTAAACAATCAACCTGCCAAGCTACCAAAGAGGAAGCTAAAACACTTCTGCTTTACAGCATCCAATAAAGAAAAAGATGCAACGGTGACTTCATCTTCCTAGGCTGAAAATTGGCTACAAAAATATTTGGCCCAACAGTGGATGAAAACCACTCCTCCCTGTTCTTTCAGAATTCACTGATACGGGCATTACACGTTGTTAATAAAAGGCTTACAACGCACTTCCCCTATAAGTACGTTTGGGGAATTCATATGGACATAGCATGCTAACTTACAGCTGTTATCCAAAACTGCTACAGCTGTTACCTAAAAACTGCAGGGAAAAATAGAAGCCATCCCAAAGCAAGACCATACAAACATGTAACCCAAGGTTGTATTACACATGAACATCAGGGCAGAGTTAAGGTTACTTTCCCAACTTTTCATTATCATTAACTGTTTTTTGAATGCTGAAATAAAGATTTGTCACCATTGTCTTAATATAATTTAAAGAGTAGTGAAGGTTAAGGAGGTTTTTGTTTTCCTTTAAGGACAGTGGAGAAATTCCATCATCTGGAATTATTTAGCCAGTTGCTTTGAGAGAACGTAAACAGAAATTCCCTTTCGCTATGTATCTTGGAAAAAAACAGGAACTGAGGAATTCTCTGAAGGTCTATTGGATCTGCACAGCTTTTACCCTGGAAGATAGGAAGGGAGCAATGGAAAAGCTCATTTCTGGTGTACTTCTGCTAAGCTGTTCCCTGCTCATGAGCCCTGTGAATTAGGCATGCACGTATGTTCAGCTTGGCCTTCACTTGCCATGTATTTTCCATGCTTGAGACTCCTGCTTGACGACGATGGTGCAGTTCAATTCACTCAATGTCTTTTATGTTTCAGAGGCTGCCAAAATCCAGTTGGAGCAGCAGTGTGTATATATAACTAAGCCTGGCCTTGCATGTTGTGCATATTTAGTAAACACAATTACTTGGATCCTGCCATGTGGTTCCCTCATTCTGAATTTGTTATGTAAACACAAAAGTTACAAGACTACTCAGTTTCTCCAACTCCAGCCCTAAAAAAAGTGTCACTACCCACATATGCAACTCTGTGTGTGTGTGTGTGTGTGTGTAGATCACCACTGCTGTTTGGACAGAAATGCCACAAAGATCTTTAGGAGGGCAAAATGGATTTCTCCAGAACTTTGTCATACCTGAAAAAGTTTAAATCACAAAGGTTAGGATTAGGGGGACGTGTGCTCTGCCAAGATCTGAACTGGAACAGAAAGGACTGTGTTGGTCAAACTGTGTTCCAGTGTTACAGGATTTGTTCTGCAGGGTTAAGGTCTCCATTGCCATGAGAAGGGGCACAAAAGGGGCTGGGCTGGAGAGGTGGGGATGGGCAACCTGTGCTATGCAAATAAATGTGTTTTTCTTCTCGTTGGGTCTGTTTCTGTTACAGTAATGAAGTAGCTGCTGGCCTCTACTTGCATTTGAAAGCCTTGCTCTGCTCCACAGCCACCTTTCAAAACACCTGATCAAGACACTGAGCGGCCACATGGCAGCAGGTGAACTTGAGTTTTGGGGGGAAATGTCTCCATGCAGCACTCGGATGGGTTTCTTTCCCTCCCTTCTGCCTCAACTGTGGCAGAGGGGCTGTGGGGTGGCCATCAGGGCATGGGGCTGGGGAGTGGGCCCACAGGGGCAGTGGGTGCTGAGCCTCAGACACAGCACAGGGCTTTGAATGCCCACAGCATAAAAGCAGTGCAGCTCTGCACAGGGAGGAAAAAAAAAAAAAAAAAAGAGAAAAAAAAAAAAAGAGAGAAAAAAGCCTTAAGGCTTTTTTTTTGGCTTGACAGGAGCCAGTACCAGCTTGTAGGCAACAGGAAGGAGAAAGGAAGGAAACAATGAAAAGGAAAACAGGCTCAAAAGAAGGGGTTGGAGCCTCTCCATCTGGATGCCCACAAAAAGGAAGCACATCTTCTGGTCCTACTGAGGCTACTCTGTCCTACAGCCTTGATCCTTGAAAACCAAGAAGAGAAAATGGGCACTGCCTCTGGGCAGCCAGAAATGTCAGGCACACTGGTGGCAGCCCAGAGAAATGCCTACACTTCATCTTCTTTGTTGAGGCTTTGCTAGTATGTTAATATTTCTGGAGATAAATACTGTGCTGGTAAGCAGACTGAAAAAAATAAATAAACAAACAAAAGAAAAAGAAGAAAAGACCATGGTAATTAAATCAAAAGAAACAATGAGACAGTAGTTGCAGCATGTGCAAAGGAAGAATGCAGTGCTGCAGGCATGGGGCTCGCTCCCATGTGGCCTCTGCACAAGACCCCACGAGTGGGGGCAAGATGGGGGACCTGGCACGTAGGGTGGAACACATGGGGCACTCGAGCAGCCTGAGCTCGGCTCCCCCTCTTGAAGTTTCCAAGTGTACTTGCAGTTCTCCAGGTAGCTACGAGAGGGGGGAGAGCCACTGGTAGGTTTCTGCTGGGTTGAAATAACAAAGTCTAGTGGGTGCCGCAGGCTGGCGCCCGGCCAGCAGACAGGCAGGGACAAAAAATCCAGAAAGGTTTTTAATACACTCGCAAAGAATAGCTTCTGGTGGACAAAAGAGCGCTTGTATTTTTGTTCTTTCCTTTTCCTGCCTCCAGGAAACTTTAAATAGACTGATTAGAGGCATGCATAGGATCCGTCTCTAATGAGCTCTGAAGCGCGCCGCTGAATGGCGAGGTGATGCCAGCCTCGGATTCTTTCTTTATTCTTGCTGAATAGGAGAACAGTCCTGATCCGGAGTCTGGGACAAGAATCGAGAGGAAGACAGTTTTGCATTTGCTCATCCGGCGGGTGCTGGATGGCATCACCCCTCGGAGAAGCACCTGGCGCAGAGCCGAGCTCTCAGGAGGTGACCGGCGGGGTGGTGGCTGCTGGGTAAATGCAAATACTCCCAGCCGAGCATTAGCTATAGGATTTGCTTCAGTAATTACCTCTGCTTTGGTCTTATGACCCAACATAAGGCAGAATGACTCTTGGCCAAATTACAAGTTGCTGAGAGGTCTAGGGCATTCGGGCATGTGTCCTCTACCTGTTGGAGTGTGCTGCAAACCAGTGGGCATTTCTGGTTCTCTGGCTTTTATTATTCTGCATGCCTGATGACTAGAGGCTGCTTTGAGGCACTGACTAGAGAGCCTAAAGAACCATAGTTATCAATAGATGTGGGAGCAGGAATGAGTTTCTTACTCTTTAATATGAAGCAAAGACATCCCTGCCACCAGGACCAGTAGAGAGCTATGCATGCTAGAGACAACCAACAGCCGAAGGGGATGTTCCCTCTTTTCTGGCCCTAGGGACAGAGTCCTCTCTTCTTTTACACACAGCAAAAATTCCAGCCACCATCCGTACACCTCGGATAATAAGGGAACCTAAACATTTGGCTCATGGCAGCAATTTTATGTCTTCTAACAAGGGGAACAGCGTTCCCCTAGGTCCCACTCTCTTTGAGCCGTGCTGCTATGACAGTAATGCGATTGTCACTGCCATGGTATGCTTAACCTTTGCCAAACTAGAGCTGAGGCATTAACTCAGATCTTCAACTCACATGTCTTAAAGGGCAACATAACCTGTGCTGCCTCTACAGGCCCGTAACAACAAGCATGAAAATGTGACAAGCGTAAGCCGTAACAATGATTGATGCAGATAGAAAAATAACAAAGAGCAGCTAAAAAACACTGATGCAGTGGAATTCCTGGGAGCGGTGTCTCCATGGCATCAGCAGCCAAGTGCTGGGACACCAGGAGAAAGGTTGGATTTGCCCGTGGTAGAAAGGATCGCCACACTACACAGCGAAATTCCAGTAAATGGGACAAGAGCCGATGGTGTCTGGAAGTGGTAGTGCCACTGCTGCCCGGATAATGGTCTGAATTAGATTATGTGAAAAAAGAAGGAATATATAGACCACCAGCTGCTCAAAGGCTTACAACAACCTTGCTTTTATTGTTCAGCTAAGTTAGAGGTGGGGCATCAGAGGGATTCCACGCATACCACTGCAGAGAAATTTTAATATGTTCCACGCTGACACATATAAAAAGGAAATAACAGCTGATCATAGCCAGCGGAGCCTGAAGCATCTCTTCATATGCCTGCACAGAAGAATGGGCAAAGAGGGGTGCTTTTGGTCAGAGAGATGGCCAACCGAGCTGACCTGGCAGCAGCCCCACTTTTCTCCTGCCACCAAGCTGGCCTTTGGCGAAAGGGCTGTTGAATGGGAAGCAACGAAAGAGTGATGGAAAAAGGGTGAAGCAGGCACGGCTACTGACCCCATCCCAAGATACCAGGGTGTGTAGAAGGGCAGGGGAGCGGAGCGGCTGAACGCTTAACATGATGAAAAGAAACACGTGTTTACACAACCCACAGCAATCCAATGGAACAAGATATTGCAGAGGGCAAAAGTTTAGCAGGGCGCAGCAAAAGGACTTGATATGTGTGAGAGGGTTGCAGCCGTAAGGGTTTTATTTTTAAAGAGTTTGGGGAAGGGTTGTAAACTCTCGGGACTCTGAGAGCTCAGTTGATGGGGTTAGGGGAAAATCCTTCACAGCAGCAAGTTCCCCTGTAGCTGCCTGCCCCGGGGTCTCTGTGTCTTGCTTTGATGTGGCCGCTTCCAGCCACGCTCAAGAGGTGGATTACTCAAATAACAGGGGGCTGTGGTGTGGGCTCATGTAGCAAAACTTTCCTAAGCCGCAGAGCAACAAGTCTGTCCCGGTACTCAGGGGGACATTAGAGGCAGAGGAACTTGTCCTGTTTGTAATATAACTGTCTGATAGTTGTAATTGCATTTACAACAGCAGTATTTGGAAAATAAATAAATAATTTTTACTGTCAATTAAATAAATAAACTGCCAGACTTGTTGCAAAAACAAATGTCTCATTGGCTTCACGCAAACTTTGCACCCTAGGTCTTCAGCTCCTTTCAAGATCCAAGGACAGCCTTGGTCACTTCCAAGAGCATCTGGGAGCAGAGGGTCAGGGAGGAGATAGGATCAGCTGCAGGAAATGGGGAATGAAGTCACTCCATGAGGATTCCCTGTCAAATGAGTCACTGGGGCATTGGTGCCAGACCTCCAAGGAGGTGGTTCGCTTCCCTCCCACCCTGGCAAAAAACGCTGCAATGCTGGCAACTCAAGCAAGCAAGAATATACACGTGGCACATTAGGAATTGTTCCCTATGGCATGTTAGGAGTTGTCCCCTATGACACATGAGGGGTTGTTCTGGTGGGGTGGATGGCTATTGCCAACATCAGCCATGCTTTTGTGGCTACCTGGGGTATTGCTACTGATACCTGTACGCAAGACTGTCCATAACAAGAGTCCTGCTCTGCAAGGAGGAATCATCTGTTCAAGAAAAGGTGCTGCACAAAACCAGGAAACTTACACAGGACACCTTCATGTAGTGATCTGAGCTTGTAATTGGAATAATCAGCAGTAGCCCCTAATTATATGCCTTAACTAAATCAAATCACATTCTATTTTGTAAGCCTGAAATGTCTTCTATTCCTTCCCCTTTTGCTTTTAAATGGAAAATCTTAAAACATCTTCTTATAATACCAGTATTACAAATAACACTGCATTGTTCCAGCATGAATAATGTCAAGGTACAAGTCACATTGGTAACCCCTGATTCAAGCTGGTAAGTAATTACTCACCAAATAGTTGTATTTAAGTCAAGGGAATTATTCATGTGCATAACTGCTCACAGATATGAGTAAGGTCCCACAGCCTGGGCAAAAGCGAACATCATTAGCAATTCAAAAGAAAAGAATAGAGGCCCTAAAATGTAGGTGGAGGAAGGACAAATAACAACACTGCGATTATTATATCCAATTCATTGACCCCCCACCAGGCATATGGGCTGCTTCCAATAGGAAATAATTTTACAGTGAGGAACTGGTTTGAAGTGAGTTTGTACCCACTGGTGGTTTTAAATAATCATTCGACTGTTCTCTTCCAGTATGCAGTGTCCTCACCTCTCAGCAACTAGGACAGAGTCACAAAGCTCTAGAAACTGTGACAGTTAGCATTTAGGAAATGTTTTTTCATCTTTAAAGAACAGCAGGAACTTTAGCAAGTTACTTGTCAAGCCGCTAGTCCAAGGTAGAAACAAATAAGATTTTTTACAGGGACACTAAGAGAGGTACTTAAATCAGCTTAAAAGGTAGGATAAGAAATCTGCTTGACAGTCCCACAGGGGTCAGTCCACACACACTGCCTTGCAAATTCATATTTGCCTCGAGAAAATTATCCCCCCCAACACACATTTGGTGTGAGTTACTCTGCTGTCACTAGGACGTTTTGCTAGCATAGCACAAACAACTCAAACAACTGAGATTGCCCTTCACGTGGTTTGTCTTTGTTACTCTTTTTTTTATTGCTATTATTTCTTGCTACTGGACCCATTAATTTGAACTTTTATAGGATGAGTTCACTCACCTGAATCTCAGCAGGGAGATGGGGCTTTCTTCCACAGCAGGGCTCTCTCGGAGCAGTATCCACACTGGGGGATTGCACTCACACTCCTCTGGTACTTTATCACTTGGCTCATAACAGCGAAACTCCTCTTTTCCCCCAGAGAGGCAGAGAACAGCTATGCTTGCGCCCCTGACACCGAGGCAGAGTGAAGAATTGCCCCGGCAAGCTGGGATTTCAGAGTGCTGAAAGCCTCCCCCTGTCCTGCAGTGGGCGGCCAGGGGGTCCCGTGCAGCATCCTCCCACGCCACTGACTGCCTGCACAGCCATGCCGCACGATCTGTCGTGCCGAGGGGGTAGGCTACCTACTAAATATACCCCTCGGGGCTACAGCACAGGCAAACACCGCGGCTTTCCTCCTAGGCTTCAGCCAATCATGGATGTGTATTAAATCTAGTCTAATCCATAGTCAGTGCTGTCCAGTCCGTAGTAAAGCTTCCCAGAAGTTTGGATAAATAATAAAGTGCAAATTAAAAGTGCTCCTGCAAAGCATGACACACAAAGCTAGAAATAAATATTGCCTGTTGTTTCAAATTATTCTGAGCACTCCAGCAGATGACTGGCAAGAGAACAGCATGCATAAGTAGTAATAAAAGTAAACAGTTCAGCTTTAAACTAGCAGGCTTGCCTGTGTTCATAGAGCCCTATTGTAATGGGACAAAGGCAGTGCTGGCGGTACCGGCACTCTCGCTATAAGCTCAGGGCAGCACCCAGCTCGTCCATTCACTCCAAAGCCATACAGTGACAGCCAGCACAGAATTGCACGCATGAGCCCAGCATGCTCACAAAAACAGAAGTTTAAGCAAGTTGCTCAAAAGCACACTGTGCTACCTCTCCACTTGCTTACAGGCATCCTTCAGGCAGAAGACAGAATTAAAGATACGATGATAAGAAGGAGGCACAGGTACTAGAGCTGTGTCCAGTCTACATTATCACATTCCAGTTAAAAACTGGCACACAGGGAACATGTATTTGTCAGATAAAGAGGCTAAGGGCTCAATTTAAGTCCATGAAACACTCAAAATCTGGAGGAATCTCTTATTTGTGTGCTTACCTTCGGCAAATGCTCTGCTCCTTCCTTTCCTCCAACTCTTCAGAGAGCTAAAAAGAGGTCCTGTTACTTCCAAATGCTTTGTTCTTCTGTCCCTCTGTCACATGGCTTGCCTTTTATATTTGCAACACACAAAAGTTAGGGCTGTTATTTAAGAGAGAGAGGGAGAGAGAGGGAGAGAGAATGTCAAATGGAAAAGTGCCATTGCAGTCATATATCAATCAGGGCAGCGGCAGCAGCAGCTCGCTGGCAAATGGGAATTCCACAGAAATGCGAAGCTCTTGTTATCTGAGAAATCACAAAACACCACCAGCCAAGCTCCCCTCTGCAGGGACTTATTAGTGGCAAGCTGGGAAATAGAAGGAAATGTAGTTTTTCTGTTGATGTTGTTATTGTTTCAGATCTGGAGATATGTATGCGAGGGCACATATGAGACAGTGGAATATAAGTCCTGAATAAAATTCCTTTCTAAATAAATGCACTGTGTGCAAGATAAAGCAAACCACTGTGAAGTGGAGTAATTGGAGCAAAGTGAATAATCTCAAAATAACAATTTAAAAATTTGCTATGTGTTTGCACTTGGAAAATATCCATAGGGAAACTGCCCTTTCCCTGGATTACTCATTAATATCCTTTTTGTTTTTTCTGATGATTTTTTTTTTAAAGAAAATTTTTACCTGTGATTGATGTCAGATATCCTAAATTCAAGCTGTTCTGCTTTACTGCAATTGGTCACCTAAATCATCTGACACTCCCAGGCTTTCCAGCTGGGTAAGCAGGCAAGCATTTTCTGTACTAATATTTGTGGGCAAATCTGCAGTTCAGATGCTTCAAACAGTCTGACCCAAAATTCAGAAACTTCTCTCAAATAAACCCTTGTATGTTCACAGAAGCTGAGTTATTTAAGATTTCAAACTGTCATTGTCTTTCTGCTTTACCCACCTTCCTCCGAAGAATGCCAAGTTTGAAAACGCTCCTCCTTCAAACCTTTTACATAACTGTTGTGCCTTTTATGTAAAAATGAATGCCCTGGAGGGCTGAAGGCAGACTCCATCCAGTGGAGAAACACACTTACAACGAGCGCATCCCAAACATGTTTGGATGTGCATAGCTCTGGATGCACTGAACCTCCTTCTCTGTTCCCCAAGAGGAGGACGTTTCCCTTCCTTTTGGAGTGCCCCCTAGTCATCCTGAGGCAGTACGGGAGCCCGAGGAAGAGCAGACCTTAGCCAGTTAATTAAAAAATAGGCGACATAGCTGGCCATTCACAAGCTGGATCTGTTCAGAGGCACTGGCCAGCAGATGGATGGAGTCCTGTGTCGATTGTGTTTGAACTCTAAAGGAAAGTTGGTATTTGATGGATGATGTTATTAGCTAAATGTCTTATGTGGTATAAGATCAAAGAGCAGATGGAAATTATGCCTTAAAAATAGAATAATCTAAAAGGGGAATGGCTTGTAGATGAGTAAGCATCATGGAAACAATAAAGGAGACATTCTTTGGCTTGCCTTGCTGCAGAGCCAGGTTTGGCTGGTGGGATAAGCTAATGATCCACTTAGGACCCAGATCCTTGGGATGTGAGTTTTGCTGCACATTTTTCCCCTCATATTCAGTGTTTACTTTGCTTGGACTCTTAAAGAGAGGAATGGCCAGCAGGTTGAGGGAGGTGATTGTCCCCCTCTGCTCTGCCCTTGTGAGGTCTCACTTGGAGTGCTGTGTCCAGGTCTGGGGACCCCAGCACCAAAAGGGTGTAGGACCATTAGAGTGGGTCCAGAGGAGGGCCACAAAGATGCTCAGAGGGCCAGAGCACCTCTCTCCTATGAAGAAAGGCTGAGGGAGATCTGCAGCCTGGAGAAGAGGACTCTGGAGAGTCCTCATTGCAGCTTTTCAGTACTTAAGGGGGGCTTATAAAAAAGACAGACAGAAATTTTTTGCTTGGGCAGATAATGACAGGCCAAGGCAGAATGGTTTTAAACTAAAAGAGGGGAGATTTAGATTAGAGATTAGGAAGAAATTCTTCACTCAGAGGGTGGTGAGGCACTGGCACAGGCTTCCCAGAGAAGCTGTGGATGCCCCATCCCTGGCGGTGTTCAAGGCCAGGCTGGATGGGGCCTTGGCCAACCGGTTCTGGTGGGAGACATCCCTGCCTATGGCAGGGTTGGAACTGATGATATTTAATGGCCCAAGCCAAGCCATTCTATTATTCTGCAATTCTATGATTAAGCCAGATGTGGGTTTCTCTCACAGACTGCATGTGTCATGGCCCTCCGCCTGCCTTGCCACATTCACCCAGGGTGCACAATGGCACAGCTCAACAGCATCTTTGCCTTGTTGGAGTTGCAGGCTGAAATGCCACCAACGTTCTGACATTGCACTTATATTAAACAAATAGACTACTCGGAACAATAGTTTTGAATTTAGCCAACTCCTGCTTTTTGAACTGAAGTCATTGGCCCTTTGGTCATTCAGCTGCTATATCCACTTGTCTCTTGTTATTTATTTTCCATGGAAAAAACATGGATATTATTTTTCCATGGGAAGGGTGTGGTTCACGTGCCTGGTTGCTCACACTTAGGACCTGCCATGTCCAAGACAAAAGCCAGGCTAAGTAGCTCCTGGGTGAAATTTGCCAGGAGATAGTAGACAACTCATGTGCCATCCTTACTGCAAATTATGTTCCTTAAGTTCTTACTAGTGCAGCATATGTTTTCTTTGTGTCGTTTATAGGTGACAATATCCATATTAGTTACTTGTTGGGTGCCAGGCTTACTTTAAATGCTCATTAATTATCATTTACATGTCAAAAAGGCATTTTTGAGAAGTAGTACTCAGTTGTTTTCTACCACAACTACAGCTTTACAGATTCCTAATACAGGAAAATCTGCAGACATTGGACTAATTTTTATTTTTTAAATTAAAAATTGCTTTCAATCTTTCATCTTCAGCTTCAAGTCCATCTTTAGCAGTAAGTAGGAGTTAATCAGCAGTTAATTAACCACACAGGCAGGCAACTTATAAACTGACACCCTCATTTGTGGTCTGAATGAACTTATACAAGATTGCAAGCACAAAAGCTGAAGTATAAAATATAGCCTTTCCCCTCCTCCCAAACTCCCCAAAAGTAATGGCCTATAACTTTTTCATAGTAGTTCATAAATCTTCATCTTCTCTTAGCCACTGTCACTTAATCCTTCCCATAAAAACAGTATTTTAAATAAACAAACAAGAGCAGAAAGAATGGATCAGAGCTAAGTTTTCAAAGATGATTAGACATTTGAGAAGACCACAGATGTTTGGTACGATTTCCAGAAGATCTAAAGATCCCGCTGCCATCCCAGTTTTAATCTGAGTTCTCTTCAGGGGAATTTATCTTACCTTGCACAGGAGTCACCTGAAAACTAAGTTTAGTTTAGGCTTTCCCAACAGGAAATTGAGAATTTCCATTCCAAATTGCATTCATTTCAGGCCAGTGTAAGGTAGTCATCAGTAACAATCTTTCTCCTCATGAACAAAAAAGGAAAATTTGCTAAATTAGTAGGACTAAATACCAATTTTTTAGATAGGTAAAACTAAGCAGGATAAATACCACCCAGAAGTACTGAAGCAGTAGTTTTGAAGAGATAGAGAACCACTTCTGAATGGAGTTCTACCAACATTCATGGCTCTATCCTCATGAAATGCATTGTAGCCCTGCAGCCCTAATTTACCTGCTTCCCTGTTTGACCTCAATATGCCCTACAAGATGCGATGTTTGTTCTCAGAAAAACATTGTACTACCTTTACCTGCAACTTAGTAGAACTGAATTCTTTGCCTCATTGGCATTGTCAATTTCTCATTGCCTCCTCAAAAGAGAAGGATTTCACCTCCACATAGTGCGCTAGTGAAATGCATTCTGATTTCTGCAGCAAAATAAGCCTCAAGTTTCACTTTGAAGGATTTTCCAGTGCTGCAAGTTCATAGTCTTTTTTGTGCAATTTTTGCTTTCTGAGATGATGGGTGGCAGACCACAATACCATCAAATGTACTGTCAGAAGAGGCACAACTTGGTATATGTGCTGGTTGCACCTGTGAAGGCCATGAATAGAATAAATTTGCAAGGACAATTTTTAAATTTAGATATATACTCATGCACAGACACAGACACGCATGCTATTTCTGCAAGCAATTAGAGTGGGCAGGATGCATAGGAATACAGCTCATGGAAGGATGATGCTTTGTTCGATTATTGAATTGGTAAAGGGTGGACTTGGCTATTAGTATTTTTTTTACAGCTGGGAATGTAAGGGGAACTGAAAGAATTGTAACGATGGGGAAGGGTCTATAGTAACAAGTAACATAATGTTTATATAAAGAGCATATATTTTGTACAGACAAAAGATACCCAGAATCCTAAGAGGAGCTATTTTCTATCTCTTTTAATAATCCAAATAAATATCAGGTAAATAATAAACCCAACACATAAAATTACACACCCATGTACATTAACCCAGGATCAGGTGCCACAAATGTCTTTCCAGCCAACAGATGCTTTTCACACCTTATTTCATCCTGCCATGCATTCCCTGAGATGCATTTTGCAACGTTATTTAAACACCTGCCTGCATATATTCTTCCATAATCTAAACGGGCCTCTTCTTTTAGTATTTCTTTGAACACATGAATGGGTATTGTTCAGAGACAGTATCTGGAAGTGTTTATTCAGTGGCTTACACATATGTCATTACTAGAGCAAAGCGCCCTTTATTTAGGGACTAAGGCTGCTATAAAGAATACTGTGAAAATTGGGTCTGGACTATGTGCTTAGACGTTTTACCACAGAATTCAGACAGACATATTACTTACAGATGAAACGCATGTTTTTTTTAAATGCTGTGAAACTGCATCTGTACCATGACCAGAAGTTGGTGTGCCCCCCGCGTTGGTGTCCTCTTGTTTTCTTCAGCAAAGCAGTGGGAGCCAGTCATGTAGGTCTCCTCTGAGGTATGCTGCCTACAGGAGGCAAATGATGCTGGAGTACCAGTGCTTAAAAAAGCCAGGCTTAGGAGCCTGGCTGGGAAAACAATGTACCAGGGAGAGATCTTGGATGAACATGGCTTGGACATGTCTGTGGAAGGAGGGTGGGTGGTGATTTGGATGGGGAAGG